TAAACATTCGTTATTAATATTGCATGAAATAATTGTACTGAATATATTTTGTTGAAATTAACGCAGTTTCTATAACAAAACTTAAGATTTAAAAAAAAAAGGGGGGGGGGGCAAATAATATTCCTGAATAATTTTGCATTGTAAATTTAGATACCTGTAGCTATCCTATCACACACAAATTAGTATCTTTTTAAAAAATCAATAATCAATCTTTGAAAAAGAATATTATCAGCAAGTAAAATAAATAAATTAAATACCCCCCCCCCCTCCTCTTTTCACTTTCATCGCAAGTTAAAAAAATTTGACTAGAGAAAACTCTACGAACGGGCGAAAATATATGAGGAGAGAAGTCTCTTTTATGAAATATAACTTTCAGCCGTAGGGTATGCTGGTCCATTAAACTCGAAAACTAAGCATCTTTTTTTAGCATTGTCACTCCACTACATGTCACAGTAGGTACTGTCATGAAATTTATCCTTCAGTGCTCAAAGGCCATGATAAGGTCAGGTACAAGTCTAAATTTTCAGCATTCCACTAGCAAGTAGTGGATTCTCAATATGAGTTAAAAAAATTCTCTGAAAGGATATAATTAAGCAAAGCATAATGATTGATCAATTGAACCTAGGTATTTAGAGCAAAAAGTGAATTATAGCAAAAAGTAAATTATAGCAAAAAATGAATTGTAGCAAAAATGAATTATGTCAAATAACGAATTATGGCAAAAATTGAATTATAGCAAAAAATGAATTATAGCAACAACAAAAAATATGGCAAAAAGTGAATTATAGCAAAAAGCTAGAATCGTATCAAAAGTTTGTGATAATGAAACTTATCTTTTATCCAATTACTCGGTGGAAAATGAATCATTTAACATAAACTGGGTGGACAATCTTTACTCAAAGTAAAGTTAGACAATATTTTAGTGTTTCTTTCACTTTTTTTTTTTCAAAAGATTTTTACATTGTTTTTGTCCAGTCTGTTGTCAACTTAAACCTTCGCCATGACTTTTCAATCCTTGAGAGGTAGAGACTTGATATTTTGTATGCGTACTCCACAAAAAAAATTCTTTCAAAAGACATCAAGGTCAATGACTTCGTGACCTTGACTGTGACCTACAAGCTAAAAATATCTTTTTTGAACTTTTTCCATAACTTTTGACACATGAGAGATAGAGACTTCATATTTGGTACGCATACTCCACTAATAAAGTTTTTCAAATGATATTAAGATAAATGACCTAGTTCCTTGACTGTGACCTATATACTAAAAATAGTTTTTTTTAAACTTTGTTGCCACCGGGCACATAGTGTTTCACAAACACATTTTGTTTGAAGTTAAACAAGATGTGTTTGTGAAACACTATGCGCCCGGCGGCAACAAAATTCTGAAAAAGCTATTTTTAGCATATATGTCACAGTCAAGGTCATTGACTTTGGTGTCATTTGAAAGAGATTAATCAGTGGAGTATGTATGCTAGATATGCAGTCTCTATCTTCTATGGTTCGAAAGTTATGGCAAAGGTACAAAAAAACTATTTTTAGTATACAGGTCACATTTAGGTCACAAGGTCATTGACCTAGAGCTTAAGTAGTGGAGTATGCATACCAAATATGAATTCTCTATCTTTCATGGTTCATAAGTTATGGCGAAGGTTAAAGTCTGCAGACAAACAGAGAAACAAACAGACAGACAGGACAAAAACAATATATGCCCCAGATATATCAATACGGGCTCATAAATATGACAATGAATATTAAAAAAAGAATACCAAAATAACCACTCCCTTTTTGCAATTTTCTAAGCGTCCGGGTAATAGAGATTATACAGTATTTGATTTCACTCAAAATTAGACAACAATCATGTACATGCAATGTTGACCAATATAACCAAAGACAGGCTTCCTGGGAATGTAAAGTTTATATCAATTTTTGGCATTTTACAATTATAGGGCTATCCAGGTAAATACAACAATTGCTGCAATTACTCCCTTCATAGGTAACTGTACAGTAAAAAACTGGAGGTATATAAGATTGATAAGTAAATAATTCTGATGTTGGAAATGAAACTGTTTGTATTAAAATACACAGTTCTGCCATGGTACCTTGGTCTGTATCGCTTTTGCTGTCTCCATCCTAGACTTGAGGACTGTAGCTCTATAGACCTTATTCTTCTTGGCTTTTGTGGCAGGACTCTGTCTCTTGACCTTCATGGTTGAATCACCTGTAAATGTTTATATGAGACCTCCATTATTTATAGATTACGGGAATATTAGCCGGGTAATGGTTTAGAAGACAGAGTAAATTACAAACACATTTTATATAATGATGACAGATTTTTTGCACCTTGGAGATGGAAATCAAGTAAGAAAGAAATTTTTATAGAGTTTGTTGCTTAGAAAATTGTAGGAGTAACTAAAAGATTGAACATATTTTCATGTTACTGTATATGTTATAGCTCCATCAAGAGAACTAAATACTGATATAGCTCTGTCAACAGAACTAGATACAGTTACTGTTATAAACTCGGTTATAACGAAGTCACTGGGATCTGGATTCTGGAAAATTAATTCGCTATATCCGTAATTCTTGATATCCATACTGTATAAGGAATTTATTAAATTTGTGTAGTTGGGGATCCAAGAAAACTTCGCTATATCCGTGAATTCGCAATATCCGTGTTCGCACTAAATGAGTTTTACTGTACTGATATAGCTTCTTCAACGACCCTTCAAGGGAAGACAGACTTTAATGACTGCGCTTTTGAATGGATATCAGGAAAAGATTTACCAGTAGATGACCACTGTATTCCTTGTCTCTTCTCCTTATTCTCTTTTTCTCTTGCTAATTTTTTTGATAAATACCGAGCCCGGTCTCTTTCTCTTCTCTTCTGTATTTTGTCTCTCAAGTGGCTGAACACCTTATTTTTCTTTTTTTCTTTCTCTGTAATTTCTAGTTCACTGTTAGATAAATGCTCTCTTTCTTGTGTAATTCCTAATTCACTGGTGGGTAAATTTTCTCTTTCTTGTGCAATTCCTAATTCACTGGTAGATAAATGCTCTATTTCTTGTGTAATTCCTATTTCACTGGTGGGTAAATGTTCTCTTTCTTGTGTAATTCCTAATTCACTGGTAGATAAATGCTCTATTTCTTGTGTAATTCCTATTTCATTGGTAGATAAATGCTCTCTTTCTTGTGTTATTGCTAGTTCACTGGTAGATAAATGCTCTATTTCTTGTGTAATTCCTATTTCACTGGTGGGCAGATGTTCTATTTCTTGTGTAATTCCTAATTTACTTGATAAACGTCTAGCCAACCTTTGTTTTCTCTTTCGTAATTTGTCTTTTATTTGTATTTTCTTGTAGCTACATTTTCTCCTTCCTCTTTTCTTTGTCATCTATAAAACGAAGGAAAGTAATATATGTACTGCATTTCCTGTAAATGAAGGGGAAAATTTAATTAAGCACTCGCCACTGAATTATAATTGTTGGACAGATGTACTCTCATAACTACTTGGGAGTAAGCAGATACTTTATGAAAATTTGCTTTCAGTCGAAATTACAGTCACAAAACTATATACATTGTTTTAAAAAAAATGGCCTTAAGAATATGGGTCTATGAGTTTCCAAGCCCTTTATGATAATAATTTCCACTTTGGTATTCTATAGAAAACAAAGCTACATCACTGACCTGATGTGCCCCCTTAGTAATTGAGTGTGATGTTGTTTTTTTCCTTGTCAGGGAATTTTTACATGATACCAAAACTTTGTCTATCTCCACCTTCCACCCAAATTAATTTCCAAATATGGTATTATATAGAAAGCAAATCTGCTTTACTCAGATGTGCCCCCCTAATGATTTCGTATAATGACTTGTTTGGATTAAAAATTGTCCAAGTTTATACGCTTGGATCTGTAGCTCTGTTTTATCAGTTCGAATTTTCTCAAGCAGAGGGCTATAGTTCTTGAGGCTGGTACATTGAACCCTTGACTGGTCCAAGGAATGTTCTCTCTCTCTCTCCATCCCCACTATGGCTATGCACTTTTCATTTTGAGTGTTTTGTCTACCAATGTCTGGGCAACTCAGACACTGTCAGAAATGATGAAACCATTTTAAAGGTTTTCCAGATTTATTACACCCTTAATTTCATTTTTATCGCATAATTTGAACGAAAAGTACTTGGGCTAAGAGAAGGGATTATTTTTAAAAGGTCTATGGAATGCCATATACGACAGCCAACTGCTTACTGCCAACTGCTGACTGCTTACTGCCAACTGTCAGCTGCTTACTGCCACACATATTTGAATAAATTTTATTTTTATATTGATATTTATGTAAATAAAAAAAAAAAAGGCGTGGATCTATAGGACATTTTTTCCAAGAGGGTCACTCTGGTAAAAAAAAAATCCAACCCAGAAATTTCTTAACAAGAAAAAAAATACGTAAAGCCCTTTCCTAAATGTGAAAATATATTTCGGCCGGGGAGAGGGGGTTCTTATGCGCCATACCTTCATGTGTATGACATTTTTCATACCAACTTAACACGAATCCACATTTTCCATTTTCGGTTGGGGGGGGGGGGGTTCTAAGGTTCCTTTTAGTTTATTTATTTTGTACATTAAATAATTTTTAGTTGAGTTAGTTTGTGCATTAAATAACTTTACAAATTTCAGAGGGGTGTTCCGGACCCCTCTCTCTAGATCTATGCATGTAAAACATATTTTATTTGTACAAACAAAGAGATATAAATGTTTGATCGGCGTTTTCTAAGTGGAGGGTCCAAGGTCAGTTATACCGGTAGTTCGTTTAGTTTATTTAACGTATAACTGTACAAATTTTAAATGCCCTCCCCCCAGATCTGTGCATGTGAAACATTTATTATAACACACAGACATATACATCTTTAATTTGAGGAAATTTTTAACTATAGAATATAATGGAAAACGGAAATTTATTTTCAAAACATCTTTCTCTGCAAAACGACAAATCTTTTTTAATTATTATTCTCTCTTCAAAGGTTTTGTTGTCTCCGGGGGAGGGGGGGAGGGCTTCTTTATAGATTAAAAGCAGAAAATAGTCATTTTATTACCTATTTCAAATAGGAAAACAAATAAAAAAATAAACAATGTACTTTATCAACCACATATATTGAATATTACATAAGATAAAACATATTGGTCATTTTATTTAATTCAATTTTACCAGCGTGACCCCCTTGGAAAAAATGTCCTGGATCCCTGCCTTTTTTTGTGAAAATTCATATAAATATCAATACAAATATAAAATTTATTCAAATATGTGTGGCAGTTGGCAGTAAGCAGCTGACAGTTGGCAGTAAGCGGTCAGCAGTTGGCAGTAAGCGGTTGGCTGTCGTATATGGCATTCCATAAAGGTCCGATGTCTTTGTTATGTTTTTCTGACACTGCCTTACAATATCATGATTTTAACAGGTCGGAGAGAATACTCGAAATCGGGTATTATCCGTGAAATCGCGTATAATACTCGATATTAGGGTATCGTTGAATCCGCGAAATCGGGTATTCCGTGCAACTTTCTATAAAAACTAAAGAATAAAGCAACGGCGCATTATGCCAGTAACTGTTACTTGTACATCAGTATCTTGTGGATTTATTTTTATTAAACCTAATTCATACGGTTGTCAAATAAGTTTAAAATCACACGACAAACACTGCTGGGGTAACAAAGAGAACACAATGGCGTTATTATTTTTCAATATAATTTCTAAAAACAAATAACTACACTTCGTTTGTCTTTATTTCCCATTAAAGTATTCCATATACTTAATTTTCTAATTTGTGCACTATTCACAAAACGTGAAATTTTAAAGAAATTAAACGACTAACGCCGTGTTTTGTATTTTTACTGAAAAATGTATGGCGTCCCTTTCACGTGAAATATAAATTATTCCTAACAGTTAGAGAGTACAGTATAAGCGAGTCATAATGTGTATATCTCTGCCATAATAGAATACCAACGTTATCATAAAGAAGAAAATAAAATAAGATTAAATAAATACCCACGAGAAAACAGTTTGAAAATAGCTAATTGAAGGCGAGTATCTTTTTTTATCTCAATTTAGCATGAAATTTTTATTCAAAGACACCGTAAATTTTTTGGTTGCATTTTAATCGATACAAGATATGCTATTTTACCTTTATTTTATGCATTTGTGAGAAAATTGAGAGCGAGAAGTCATATGAACAGGATTTTCTTTTTTTTTTGTATAAATAAAAGTCAAATGTGTAGATTTTCATGAGCTTATAATACATTGAATTTCTCAATATAGATCGAGGTACAGTCATATTGAAATATGAATTACATAGTCAAGTTTTCACATTTCTTATAGTTTTTACGTTTATGAACATGTTTATGAACAAACTGAAATAATGGAGTGTTCAATTGTCTTACTTTTTGGGAATATAATTCCTCATCGGACATTAAAATTTCATAAAAATCGTAGCCACTTCCTTTCTTTATTATACTATTTGATAGACAGGGTAATTTTTACCTCTTAACTTTCTATATTTTTTTCATATCGCTATCTTATACCTCATTATAATATGCTAATACAACGCACTATCTGATTGGTTCTAGACAATATGTCACAGTTTTCTTTTAGTTTTTTTATCTATAATATGTATTACTCATGGCAATAACTTTTCCTAATACTCATCTATAATGAAAAAATGTGTTTAAAAAATAAACCTGAATTCTAGTTATTTGTAGTCTCATATTGTGTTAGAAAATAACGGTTGCTTTTTGTATACCTACAAAATATGAGATTTTTATTTGATGAAAAAATCTTCCCTACGATTAAAAATATATGACCGAGTTTAACCGACCGTGACATTCAAAGAGAGGTCTCTTCGACCCATGTAGAACACAGTCGAGGTTGTTTTGTCAGAGGTGACAAAGAAACCTTTACCCCCCCCCCCCCCCCCCTTTTGAAGTCGCCAAGAAATGGTAAAATATTGATGACTTAGCGAAATTAAACGATCAACAGTTATGTTCTCTCATAAGCTGTATTCCTGAAACTATCACTGTCTCTGCTAAAATGTTGAAGACATATTCTGCAAATATGTTTGAATGATAAATAAAAAGGAAATTTTCAAAAATAGAGAAAGAAGGTTCTTTTAGCCATAATTCTAGGCATTTTTATCATTACATTATTTATACATTCATAAATAAATTTGATTTTATGCACAAGATGAATGTGAAAGTAATTAATGACGCATAATTAGATACGAAAGACAATCCCTTGTTTATACATGGCATCATATCTGGTGTGTGAAATGTGTTTCCATATAATCTGATTTATTTACAAATTGTTCATGTTTGTCGTATTGATGTGGAATTATTAGAAATTCCCGAATTATGCCGTATTTTACAATTCTGTTTGTGTTGGAATGAACGTTAGGAAGATGCATATACTTTCAACATAAGGAAAAATATAAAGCAAATCGAACGCCTTTTTGTGTGCAGATCATGAAATATTTATGAGCTCCACAGGGTATTTGTTCTGCCGAGCACATAATTGTACAACGTCCCAAATTCTTACTTGGCTAGTGATACCTTTAGAAAACATGTGTATCTAGATGAAAGTTAACCCGGCAACATGCGCCATCCCATTGTTTAAGTTTTATTAGGTGATTACACCTCCTATACCCGATTTCGCGGATTCAACGATACCCTAATATCGAGTATTATACGCGATTTCACGGATAATACCCGATTTCGAGTATTCTCTCCGACCTGTTTAACACTGATCAACAGCTGAATTATCATTAAAACAATAAAATGTGGTAAATAATTTTTTTCTTGCAACGGCACCACCCTCACTAACGGTCGCACCGTGTCAATTCTGTTACAGTTTCACTTTACCAACAGTAGGTACTTGCCAAGTTAGGGCTTGGGTCCATCAGGAAAAAAAATTTAAAAGTGCATGAACACCATCCCCTGGTGAACATCGATCCCGATATTAAAATAAAAGGCAATCAAATCTGACAAAGCATTTTTACCTTGTTATTAACTAAAATATCTGTAAATAATAAAGAGCAACTGTGTGAAGTATAAGATTCTCAATATGAAGTATAAATTTAAGTTTTAATTGTTCTTATTCATGGCTGTGGAACGAGGGGGGGGGGGGGGGGGGCTCAAAATAATTAATAACATAGGTATGCCAACGTGTTTAAAGAATCATTAAATATATTGAAATTTGAAATATAAAATCATCTCCTTCACCCATACATTACTTTCACTGAAATATAGGCTGTCCCTAATATGAAAAATTGAAAATTGGGATAGGGATAAATTAAATGTTTAAAAAATGGGGGGTCTGTAATATGTTGAAACCTCTTGAAAAATGATAAAACTTTACACTTAATTCCATTATATTTCCTTTATATTACAGTATAAAGCACATATTAGGCTTGATCCTGATCGACAACTACCAACATTTATTGATTGTTATTTCAAGGTACTTGCATTGGACACAGATTTGAAGTTAATATTTTCTCTATAATATTACGACTTATATATTTTGATAGCATTTTACACAAAAATTAATTAAAAATCTTATTTCATCTAAAAGTTATTAAAACTTCAATTTTTTTGGCGGGTTTGATTGACACATCCTTCCTTTCACAAACTTTAATTTTATTCTTAATAATTAAGAAAAGTAGCATAAATTCTTATTGTGTATAAATGAAAAATATTAAAACTATAACCCAGAAAATTCAGAGTAGACATGTTCAAAAGCAAAACGAACACATAATATACTGTCAGTCCGTGCAGTTGTGGTGAGCACACTTTGATGATTGAACGCACCAGGTGAATCGTAAACATCAACAATAGTATACATAACACGAGTGTGCTCCATTTGCTAAACTTTGTACACAACACTTAGCTCGGAATAGATACTTGTGAAAGTTTTTTTCTAAATTTCTCCTTTAACAAAATTATTTTTCTGGATTAAAGTTTTAATATTTCTCATTAATCACAAGATTGCCACTTTTCCTAAGAATTAAAAAAAAGTTATAATTTGTGAAAGTGCGGTGTGTCAATCAAACCCGCCAGAAAAAATTTTAAGTTTTTAAAAACTTTTAAATGAAATAAGATTTTTAATTAATTTTTGTGTGAAATGCTTTTAAAAATAATTCGTGATATTATAAGAAAAAAATTTAAATTCAAATATGTGTCCAAGTACCTTTAATGTCCCTCTTCATAATTTTTCAGTCATATGTATAAGCCGCCACTTGCAGTGGAGAGCTGCAAATTTTGTCTATACTAGGCACATACGGCCATCGAGCAGTGACGGATCTTTTTCGTGCCAGCACGAACTGCGACCGGGACCTCGAATTATACGGTCTCATCCAAAGAACTGGTCTCCATGTCCCACTGTGGGTTTTGAACCCCAAGACAGATGCTCTAACCACTGCACCACATGGGTGATGAAATCTGCCTCAATTCCATGAAAATAAGTATTGGGTGTATAACTGATGGACTCTAAAATCTGTTGTCCATAGTTAAAATAGCATATATAGGTTATATACTAGTAGCTGATGAACTCTTAAATCTGTTGTCCAT